GTCTCCATTCCCAAACCAGGTTTTTCTGCTCGAACCCAGATCTGCTGCTGCTACCTTCTTCCCGGCACCGCCCATGGAGACATCTGGCTTAAAACCCTTAAGCTTCCTCCCCACTCCAGTGTCTCACCTCCCAACTGTGGCGTGTCCCTAGACGGCACCTCTGGCTACCACTGTAATCACTCTTCTAATCATCGTCTTCTGACTCTGCACTGTAGAGGGGAAGCTCCCTTCAGGGGTGCAAGGCTGCAGACTCAAGTGCTTCCACAGTGCCTGATACAAAGTGGTAACTATTTGGGGAATGTTGAATGTTGAAACAGGGAACAATCTAGCACAGAATCCAACAGGAGAGGACCCAACATCAGATACCCTAGAGAGATTACAAAACTGGGTTCTAGTACAAGATTGTTAATTTAAAGTTCCTACAGGGAAGTCACTAAGCCTCTACTGAGGAAATCAAAGAAAATGATAAGTGGGGCTGGAATGATAGTACAGTGGATAGGACGTTTGCTTTCACGCGGCCGACCCAAGTTCAATCCCCACCATCCCATATGGTCCCCCGAGTACTGCCAGGAGTAATTCCTCAGTGCAGAGCCAGGACTTAACCCCTGAGCATTGCCAGGTATGACCCAAAAAGAAAAAAAATTTAAAAAAAAACAAGGAAAAAAAGAGAAAATGATAAGTTCCCTGCTAAACTATAACATCCAATTTATATCTGCTGATATATTATTAAATTATCTTTGCTGATATATTATTAAATTGCTAAGTCCAGTTAAACAGGCTGTGCATAACTAAAAAGAAACCCACCCTTCCCCCATCAAAAAAATTGTGCTGAAATCTTCTGTGATGCCTTTCACTGAGGCTAAATAGAGACCTGTGTTGCTACTATTTTGCTTTGCCAAGGATCAAACTTACGGACTTCAAGGCATGTGCTGGCATGCAGATCTCTCTATTCCCACCCTGTTTTTGATATTTTTTTTTTTGGTGGAGGGTGGAACCCGGAAGTAAATATGCGAATTGTATTTGTTTCTCTCTGCTGCTGGAAAACACAGTCACCTGCAGCAAGACTAGGAGGTCAGGTTACCATGGCAGCTGTGGCTGCTCTGCTGTCAGGATTCAAAGTAGTGATTTTGGAGGAACCAAAGAAAATGACCAGAGAGAACTGGAGAAAGAAAGAGCTGGAAGAACAAGAAAAGCTGGGCAATGCTCCTGCAGAAGTTGATGAAGAAAGAAAAGACATCAACCCTCATATTCCTCAGTCTGTATCTTCGGTGCCATGGTACACTGATCCATCAAAAAAACCCCACTTTATGGTACTACATGGAAAGTATGATGCAAGAGTGGAATGAGTCAGAAGGAGAGGGATAGACATAGAAAGATTGCGTTCATCTGGGGAACATCACGGTCACAGACCTCCCGTTATTCATCGATTTGCTCGAGCGGGTCCAGTAACATCTCCATCGTGAGACTTGTTACTGTATTTGGCATATCGGATATGCCACGGGTAGCTTGCCAGGCTTTGCCATGCAGGCGAGATACTCTCGGTAGCTTGCCAGGCTAAGAGGGGCGGAGGAATCAAATTCAGGTCGACCATGTTGGCTGCGTGCAAGGCAAATGCCCTACCCGCTGTGCTATCGCTCCAGCCACTGGGGAACATAAAGTAACAAAATAGGAGACTAACACCCAAGAATAGACGAGATTAACAATAGGAGGTTTACTCCATGGATTGGAGGCCAGCCACACATGCTAGGGGGAAAGGCAGCTCAGAGAGAGAAGAGAGCACCAAATAAAGGGTGTTGGGAGGATCCTCCCAGGATGGGAGAAGCATGCGGAAAGTAGACTATAGACCAAACATGATTGCTACTCAATGACTCTTTTGCAAACCACACACCCAAAAGGAGAGAGAGAACAAAAGGGAATGCCCTGCCACAGAGGCAGGGTGGGATGGAGGGGACGGGGGGTGAGAGGGATACTGGGATCCATGATGGTGGAAAATGGGCACTGGTGGAGGGATGGGTATTTGATCATTGTATAATTGAAACCCAAGCACAAAAATTTGTAAGTCTACAACTGTATCTCATGGTGTTTCATTATAAAAATTAAAAAAAAAAGACCCACTTTAAAGCACTAGAGACCCTAACCAAAAAAGAAAAAAAGAAAAAACAGAAGCAGCATAGTCATCTGGAGAATGATATAAGAGGGGTGTAAAAAGGAATTCCATAACTACCAAATACCGCAATGGAGAATACGAAAATTGTGGGGCTATCATACACACACACACACACAAACACACACACAAACTGTTCTGAGAGACTTAGGTGAGTTGGAGCAAAATTTACAGGGACTAATACAGCTCCAGATGAACATGTTTAGCCTCAGCTGATGTTTGATGATGATGGAAAGTGGGTTCGGTAGGATGGTTACAATCTGGAGGAACACATGAATACTGTGGAAGAATATGCCAAAGTGGGTGGATCTGGTGAAGTGAACACTGAAATCCTAGAAACTCCAAGAAGAATTAACCTTGGGAAAGTTAGTGGAATAGGCTAATTCTCCAAAACACCAGTGGGGAAAAAAGGAACCATTCTCAGGCAGAAGAGGACCCTAACGGTGAAGGTGAGGATGAAGAGAAATATGCAGATGACACTGACATGCCTGGACAGAACTTTGATTCCAAGATGGATCACTGTCTGGAATCTTAGGATTTGAGAAGATATTGCAGAATTTAGATCGATTCTGCCTACTATGATCCCAAAAGCAGAACAATGAGAGAGAATCCCTATGCCAACATAGGAGACTCCTGATAAAGTGATCTCTGCAGACGATTGCTTCGTGAGATACAAGAGTGATGGCATTTCAATGGCTCAGACAGTTGTTCACTTGGGAAGCCTATAAGTGCATAGACAAGCTGATCCTGGGGAAATAGAACTATTGTGTAAGTCCTCCAGAGTCAAAACAGAAGACTTTGAGGAATAGCAGAAAGCATCTTAGAAAAGTACAGTGGTCAAGAACATCTGGATGGCCGAACTGCTCTTAGGTAGGACTATGCAGAATACTCAAGATATGCAACAATCATCATAGGGTAGGCGCAGGCTGTTGGCTGCTCCAGATGTGAGGAGAGTGTGAAGATCCACAATCACACTCAGATTTGGGGATCTTGCTGGAAAAAATGGCTGATGGGATACAAGTGTTGTCACTCCTTTGAGGTTTGTTTTTTTTTTCTTTTTTTGGCTTTTTGGTTCATATCCGGCGATGCTCAGGGTTTACTCCTGGCTCTGCACTCAGGAATTATTCCTGGCGGTGCTGGGGCTGGGTGGGGGAACCATATGGGATGCTAGAGCTCAAACCCAGGTCAGCCATGTACAAGGCAAATGCCTTCCCCTGTGTATTATCTCTCCAGCCCCTGTCACTCCTTTTTCAAGTATTCTTATTGTACTGGAGAGGCTGGGAAGTAGGTGGTCTATTCAGAGGAATGTATCCTAAATGACGCAACTGGAGAAGAATCAGTAAAAAAGATCTCAAATCCTTATGGAGGTACATCAGAAAAAATACTAAAAGGAGAGAAAAAGAAGCAGCAGCAGCAGCAGCAGCATCGAAAGAGCAGTTTTTATATGATGATGAAGAAATGTGAAAAACTGAAGGCACTGAGGGTGAAGGAGGCCCACTTTCATGTCAAGGAGATCACGCAGATTGATACGAGGAAGCACATGTACAATAATACCTATGAAACCCGGGAACCCATAGAGGAAAAATACAGCCTACAGAACGAAAATGTCAGAGGCCAGACGACCCTACAAACTCCTTCCTCAGACATTAGTGGCTAATCAACAGACATCACCCGATACACACTGGACGCACTCTTCCCAGCTGCTTGCTAAATATGGTAGATGGAAAAAATGCGTGTCAGCTCTTCATGCTGCCTGACTTATTAAACTTTCAGAAGTTGCATAAAAAATTTTTTAAAAAAACCCACACACCTGTTTGAGGACTCAAGTTCTCAAGGCTAGTAATCGTGCACTACAACTTTCCCAAACAGTTTGGGAGAGGGCGCCATTAGAATCAAGGCGATTTGAGGGCGTCTGTCAACTCCCTTTTGACAGAGCCTCTAGTTGGACAGGCCACACTTCTTACCTCAAACTCTGCAGCCCTAGGGATCTGTTTCCACTGCTATAAATGGGGGCCACGCTAGGGCTGGACAGGGCTTGCCCACGCTGGTTCAATCCCGGGCTCCTCATAAGGTCCCCCAAGCATCGGTAGGCGGGATTCCTGAGCACAGCCGGTGTAGCCCAAAATACAAAATAAATAAATAAATAAAAGGGCGGGGGGTAACCACACTAAATTGCACCGTTCCGTCCAGAGGATTAGAGAATATGGAACTCAACCGAGTAAGACTTGTAAACAGCGTTCGGCGGTCCTGCAGGGAATTCTACAAAAGCCCAGAGGGCGACGCAGGGAGCTGCTGAGGTCCCTAATTAAGGCCCCCCCGAGGCCCTCACTGCCCCGCTCCGGCGCTCGGGGACTTTTCGGAAAAGCTGCTCTTTCCGCCAGCCGCCGGGGCTGCCCGAGCGCAGCAAGGTCCCGCGGGGGCGTGGCCAGGCCCGGACCGGCCGTCGGGCTTTCCGGCCCCGTCTGGAGCCGCCCAATCCGGGAGGGACGATCACGTGACCCGTGCGGGTTCCCTCCCCCCCCGGCCTGTACCACCTCAGACAACCCTGGGGGGCGCCTGGTTATGTTTTTTTTTTCTCGGACGCCAAAACAGAGATATGGGCCCAGTGGGCATCGAGAGAGCGTGGAGTGCCGTCCTTGTGGGGACGGGGCGGGCTGGGCGCCTTAGCCGGGCTCTGGCCACGTGCCTCCCCCGCCGCGCCCTTGGTCTCGCCCCGCCGGGCCTGGGCGCGGCGGCGGCGGCGGCGGCGGCGGCAGCGGCGGCGGCGACGGCGGTGCCGCGTCACTGGCGGGCGGGATCCCTCCGCCCAGGGGAGCAGCGCTGGCCGGCGGCGTTGGGGCGAGTGAGGAAATCCATCCGCGCTGCCGCCGCCGCCGCCGCCGCCGCCGCCTCCGCCGCGGAGGAAGACAGGACCGGCCGCCGCCTGGGCGACCCTCGCAGAGTCTCGCCGCCACAGGTACCTCCGCTGGCGAAAGGAGTCCTCCTGCCCCCGCGGCCCCCGAGGGAACCGCGCTTCCCTCCGGGCTGTCGGCTCTGGCCTCGCGGGAGCCGACGGAACTCCTCGGACCTCCCCTCCCTGCCTTCGGCCCCGTAGCTCCCAAACCCGGAAGGGGAACTGGGGGCCTCAGGCCCCCGTAGTGCACGCGCAACTTGCAGCCCCGGGGGTCGTGGGCCGCGACCCCCAGCCCCTGTCCAGCACCCAGTGCCTCGCGGGGACCGAGAAGTTGGGCGGGGGGCTCAGAGCGGGGCTTCCCCGAGGCCTGTCCCGCCCCCTTTCTCGCCGCCGCCCTCCCGCCGGCCCCGGAGGCGCCCCCCGCGCGCGGCCCTTCGCCCCGCCGTGTCTCGGGCCTCCCGCGGGCCGGGCCGCGACGCCCCCCCCCCCCCCGGCGTCCCCCGGCTCCCGACGGGGGTCCGGCCCGTGCTGTCGAGTCCCCCTTCTTCGAGAAGCCAGCTGGGGGCACGCGCCCCCGGTCCCCCGTGGGCGCCCCCGGCTCGGTGCCGTCTCCACCCCCAGCCCCGCTCGCTTCGGGGCAAAATGGAGGTCGCGGGGGCCGGAGGGCCGGGCCGGGCCGCGCCGTCCAGCCGCCAGATCCGGGCCCCGCCGCGGCCCTTCCCCTGGGCCCCCGCCGGACCTGCGGAGGCGGTGGCGCCCCCGGCCGCTCGGGGCCCGCGACCCCGCTGGCCGCCCGCAGACCAGGGGCTGCCGCCGGGGCCCCGCCAGGTGATGGGGGCGAGGGGGGGAGCGTCGCCCCCGGCAGCTGGGAAGGCGGGACCGTGCCCGGGGCGGGGGCGCGGGGTCTCTGCCCACCCCCACCCCCGTTCTGTGCAGGGCCAGGGGTGGTCGCGGGGGGCGGCCGGGGAGCCGGGCTCGGGCGAGGCGCGCGGCGGAGCGCACAGGTGTCCGCGCGGGACTTGCCGAGCCCCGATGACCGCGAGGGCCGCCTCGCCGCCGCCCGCCGCGGGCGGCTAATGGGGCGCAGCCGGCCGCGGGGATGATCCGGGGTGAGCCGGCCCGAGCCGATTAGCGCTAAATCGGCTTTGCCCCAATCCTGTCAACGGTCTCCCCCACCCCCGCCTCCCCCGGCCGGTTTTGGGGGAGGAAAGGGCGGGGGCGAGGGGGTCGGGGGTGGGGTCACCCACCCTACAGGTCTCTGTCGGGATGCAGTTGCCGTGGCAACGGGGCTAGGGTGGGGGCCCTTCACCAATGAGGTGCTCTCAGTCGGGGTGACGGTTGCCTAGGCAACCCCACGAGCAGCCCAGCCTCCCCCTCAGGTCCCCCGCCCCGTGGAAGCTGGGGGTGTGGGTGTGGGGGGTGTGCGGCGTGGGGGTGGGGGAAATTTAAAGAGGCGCCGCCCCGTTTACAGCGAGGTGCTGGCTGGGCGGCGTCAGTGCATGCCGGGCCGGGCCGACCCCGGGCTGTTTTCGGAGGGACTGTCCCCGCCCTCAGCACCCCACCCCCCAGTTCCTGCCGCGGTGACCCGCCCCGCCGGGCGCTGGCTGTCCGCGGGAGGGTTTCCCCGCGCTTCCTCTTGCACTTCCCGCACCGTTTCCGGGGGGGCCCGGAGTGAGATTGGGGAAGTCAGCGCGCCCCGGGCAGCCCTGGGCACCTCTGGGGGAGCCGGGGAGCCCGCGGCCGCCCCCTCCCCCCAGAGCTCACCCCTTCCGGGCTGCGCCTCCAGCCCGCCTTCCCCCTTCCCCCGTGGCCTTGGGCCTGACGTCAGCCCTGCATCCCCCAGGCCTCGGGCCAGAGGCGAGGAGCTGCCTCCCCCAGCCCCTGTCCCGCGGCCCTTAGCCGCCCCCAAGCCCGCCCCCCGGGCCCGGCGCCATGAGTGAGCTGGAGCAGCTGAGACAGGAGGCCGAGCAGCTCCGGAACCAGATCCGGGTGAGGTCTGGTGGCGGGTGGACAGGGAGGCGCGGGGGCAGGACCAGCGGCTGGGCCGGGAGCTCTGGATGGCACCCTCACGTCTCCTGGGTACCCCCTGGCCCCTGGAATCACCTCCCCCATCTGACTCGGCTTCTCTTCCAGGATGCCCGAAAAGCATGCGGCGATTCTACACTCACCCAGGTGAGGGCTAACCCCGGGCTGGGTTGCAGTGTTGGGGAGCAGCGCCGGTTGGGGCCCTCTGCCCTGCCCCCTCAGCTGCCCTCAGCCCGGTGTGCCTCCCTCTGCAGATCACAGCTGGGCTGGACCCAGTGGGAAGAATCCAGATGAGGACACGCCGAACCCTCCGAGGGCACCTGGCAAAAATTTATGCCATGCACTGGGGCACAGACTCAAGGTGGGGGTGTGGCAGGACTGTGCCAGGGAACTGCCCGGAGCTGCTCAATGGGGCAGGAGAGGGGCCTTCTGAGCCTCACTCGGTCCTGGCCTCTCCGCAGGCTGCTGGTCAGCGCCTCGCAGGACGGGAAGCTCATCATCTGGGACAGCTACACCACCAACAAGGTAGGGAGCTCCTGGTGCAGGGCGGGTGAGCAGGGGGCAGGGAAGCCGGCACAGGCTTACCCAGGGGCCACTCTCCTCCCAGGTCCACGCCATCCCGCTGCGGTCCTCCTGGGTCATGACCTGTGCCTACGCGCCCTCAGGGAACTTCGTGGCCTGTGGGGGGCTGGACAACATCTGCTCCATCTACAGCCTCAAGACCCGCGAGGGCAATGTCAGGGTCAGCCGGGAGCTGCCCGGCCACACTGGTAAGGGCCCAGCGGGCGGGGGGAGGGAGGGGGGGTTGGGAGGGGGCGCTGCGGGTCTGCAGCCGGGTCCAGCTAACCAGTCTCTGCCTCCAGGCTATCTGTCCTGCTGCCGGTTCTTGGACGACAACCAGATCATCACCAGCTCTGGGGACACCACCTGGTGAGGCCCTGCCAGGTCTCGGCTTCTTGAGGGAGGGCACCTCAGTGGTCAGCGTGGGGGCGGTTGAGACAGTCAAGGGCAGGGTGCTTCTCTCACAAGTGGCTCACTAGGGTTTCGTGCCCAGCATTCTCTTATGTGCCTCCAAGCCCTGCCAGGTGTGAGCCCTGATCACTGTCAGGTGTGCCCCCCCAATCCAAAATAAAATGTCCCGGGGCTGGAGCGATAGCACAGTGGGTAGGGCATTTGCCTTACACGTGGCTGACCCAGGTTCGAGTCCCAGCATCCCATATGGTCCCCTGAGCACCGCCAGGGGTAATTTCTGAGTGCAGAGCCAGGAGGAACCCCTGTGCATCGCCAGGTGTGACCTAAAAAGCAAAAAAAAAAAAAGTCTCGTGTGTAGCCCACCCTGCCCCCTGGCAGGGCTGTGGGAGGCCCTTGGGGCGGCAGCCATCTCTGACCCCTCCTGTTCCACCCCAGTGCCCTGTGGGACATCGAGACGGGCCAGCAGACCGTGGGTTTTGCCGGACACAGCGGGGATGTGATGTCTCTTTCCCTGGCCCCTGATGGCCGCACGTTCGTGTCGGGGGCCTGTGACGCCTCCATCAAACTGTGGGACGTGCGGGACTCCATGTGCCGACAGACCTTCATCGGCCACGAGTCTGACATCAACGCGGTGGCCGTAAGTGCTGGGCTGGTGGGGCAGGCGGGCTGGCCGCGCCTCAACATGCCACACCCCTGAGCCCCCTGCTTGTCCCCCAGTTCTTCCCCAACGGCTACGCCTTCACCACGGGCTCCGACGACGCCACGTGCCGCCTCTTCGATCTGCGGGCGGACCAGGAGCTTCTCATGTACTCGCATGACAACATCATCTGCGGCATCACCTCCGTCGCCTTCTCGCGCAGTGGCAGGCTCCTGCTGGCCGGCTACGACGACTTCAACTGCAACATCTGGGATGCCATGAAGGGCGACCGTGCAGGTGAAGGCCCGCCCTGCTGCCGCCCCCCCCCCCCCCGCCGGACCCCCCTCTTTGCCAGGTGCTGAGGCCCCTCTCCCTCCCCACAGGTGTCCTCGCCGGCCACGACAACCGCGTGAGCTGCCTCGGGGTCACCGACGACGGCATGGCCGTGGCCACAGGGTCCTGGGACTCCTTCCTCAAGATCTGGAACTAACAGCCCCACCCCCCCTACCCCACCCACGACAGGGCCCAGGGCCCAGACCACGAGGGGCCCCGCCCACGCCCACACTACAGGCCGGGAGCTTGGGGCGGGAGCACCCAGCCCGCTCCCCTACCCAGGTTTGGTTCCTCCCGAAGCCCCCACCGTGGAGATGTAGGGGGGTCGACAGGGAGGCGGGCGGAAGCCGGTCCCTGGCATCCCTGGGTCGGGGCCTCACCCTCTGGAGGGCCAGAAACGCGAGGGAGAAACTCCAGGGGCTGGCTTTTTTAAAAACTGGTTTTATTTTCATTTTTATTATATTTTCAGTTTTCCATAAAGGAACCAATTCAAACTCTGTACCTGGTTTCTGCTTTATTCCCCCACACACGCCACCCCTGGCCCTGGGCTGAGCGCCCTCCCTAAAGAAAGAGGCTTGAAGGCAGTAGGGGAGAACACACACCAAGTTTTATTGGGGGCAGTATTTACAGGGCAGGGTGGAGGGGAGTCACATGAGGTGTGTGTGGGGGCGGTGGGGGACAGGATGGGAAAGGACAGCGAAGGGGGTCTGAGTCCCTGGGCTGGGGGCGCTCAGGGACTTGTAAACATTGAGCACTCTCAGAAGGGGATGGGTGGGAGAGGGTTCCCCTACACTCCTCACAGGGTTAAGGCCTCTCCAGGCGAAGTTCAAAGTCTCTGACTGGGGGAGGGGAAGGGTGAGCCGGGGCAGGGTCCCCCCCTCCCCTGCATTGGCTGCGGCAGGGGCGGGGGCGGTTACATTCAGTCACAAGAGCCCCCCCACACCTCTAATGCCACCGAACACTGGTGCGAGGAAGGGGGGGCTGGGGGCCAGCAGCAGCAAGACATTCCCCCCCTGGCCCATCACCCCCTTATTGCTTTAGAGAGAAAATTGTCTTTTCACGGACACTAACACTGTTGAGACCAGGAGAGGCAGGTGGAGGGCCCCCTCCACCCCGAGGCCAGCTTGATCCCCCAAATACTGACCCAGTTGCCACTTTGGTGCAAAAATTAAAAAAGAAAAAAAATCTCTCTGGGGATGAAGGGGAAGGAATGGGGGCCGCTCCCCGCTTCCCAGGGCAAGGAGGAGGGTACATTCACGGAGGGGCGCAGCAGCAGAGGCCAGGGGCCCGCCCAGGGCTGCGCTCAGATGAGGTGGAAGGAGAGTTGGGAGGGCCCAGGCAGGGAACCGGCAGAAATGCAAGGGGATGGGCTGGGCGGAGGTCAGGGGCGGCGTGAGGACGGACCCAGGCCGCCCGCCACCGCCCGGCCCAGCACTGCTGCAGCCCCTCAGCGAGCGAGCAGGCGGCGGGGCCGGGCACCCATTTGGTCAGTGGAGGAGTCTGGAGTCATGTGGCCTGCACCCCCCGCAGCTGCAGGTGGGGGTTCCTGTTCTGATGGCCCCTTCCCGCCCCTGCACGGGAGATCCAGTCGGGAAGGGTGCAGTGTGGGCGCCCCCACCCCAGGAGCCGCCACGACCCCCACTCAGTTGCCTGAGCGCCGCGGGGGGCGCGGAGCCCGAAGAATACATTCATGTGGCAAGGCAGGGGTCTGCGCCATCCAGCTTCCACCCAGGCCGACCCCCGTGGCAGCGTGAGGAGGCCTTCTGGGGCCACAGTAGGGGAGGCCAGCCCCACCTGCCCCACTGGGAGAGCTGCTCGTGCAACTTCCCCCCTCCCCAAAGCAGCAGAGCCTGGGGTCTCCTGTAGCCCCCACCTCGACACCTGCCAGTCACAGCAAGACGGGGCCATTCACAGCGGGTCCGGCCAGTGGGCAGGGGGCCTTGCTGTGCAAACTGCTGGCACCCCAGCTTCCAGTTACCCCCACGGCCCACCTGCGCACCTGTGGGGGCGGGAGGGTGGTGTGCCCACTGCCCTCCACAGTGTCCTGCTCTCTCTCCTCACCTTTATTTTTTTTCATTGTTTTTCTTTTTTTTTTCTTAAAAAACAAAAAACAAAAAAAAAAAACCCAAAAAGAAAAATCCCTCTGTGGGCCTTGCATGGTCACCCCACTATCCCCAGAGGGGGCAGGCGCTCGGAATAGAGCTGTAAAGGTTTCTCCTAACGTTTCTTCGATGTTTAACACAAAAATTTTAAAAAAAAGGAAAACCCCTCCCCCCATCTGTAAAGTGCCTCGTGGTGGGTGAGTTAAGGTGCGTCTGTGGTTTGTAACAAGTGCTGGGGACCGGCCCCGCGTCCCCCGGCACTCCGAGGGCGCCCGCGGGGCTGGCCGAGTCCTTGCACGGGGCCCCTCCCCCGCATAGCCCAGCTGGTGGGTCGGGCCGCTCAGTAGTCATCCACGCTCTCGATCTCACCCGAAGGTCCGTGCAGGGAGTACCCTGGGAATGGGAGGGCGGTTGCAGCGTTGCCCCCACCGGGCCAGGCAACCCCGGACCCCCTGCCCACACTCACCCAGGATGCTGGGATCCGAGTGCAGCATGAGCGCCCGCCGCTTAGCCTTGCTGCCCTCACCGGGGCCCGGGCCGAGTTTGGTGCTGTGGTTGGTTGGAAAGGCCGTCTGCAGGGGACCACTGCTCAGCCAGGCTTCCTGCTGGAGCACAGACACTCAGGAGGGCAGGGGAAAGGGGGGCCCTGGGAGGGCGGGGGGATGGGGGAGGCCTACCTGCTGCTGCTGCCGCTGCTGGCTGGCTTTCTGCTTGGCCCTCCGCTCCAGGAACTGTTTGGCAAATTCTTTGGCTTCCAGCGTGTCCCCCAGGCAGGAACGGATGTAGTCATGGACGTCATAGGGGGACTCCACCTCTTTGAGGATCGCCACAGCCATGGGCACTGCGGGCATGCAGGCGCGGTCAGGGTCCACGGGGACCCAGCCACCGGCCACCTACCCCGCCCCCGCACCCGCCGTGCCATCCAGGCCGCCCGCCCCGTCCCCGCCATACCGTCCAGGCTGCCCGTGGCACTCAGCGTGTGCAGCATCTGCTCGCACCACTGCGTGAAGCCGTCCTGCGGCCGGGGGATGCCTTGCAGCAGCTTCAGCAGCTTCTCCTCCTCCTCCGTCTTCTTGCGCACGGGCCGGCCCGAGAGGTGGCTGTAGGAGTCGCTGCAGGGACAGTGGGTGTGGGCGTCCACGCCCCCCCACCCCCACCCCAGCTCGGGCCTGACTCTACCCGAAGCCCCCGGCACACCCACCTGAGGGAGGGGCTGCTCCAGCTGTTCTTCAGGCCCAGGCCGCGCGTCAGGCCCCCGCTGCTGCTCTTGACCGTGTCCTCCCAGAGCCCCAGGCTGCCGCCACCGCCGCCCCCACTCTTGTCAGGCCCGCCCCACAGCGGCCCGGTCTCCGACACCCACTGGTTCAGGGGGGTGCTGCCCAGGCCCCCGAGCTGCTACAAACGACAGGGGGTCAGGCTGGCTCCCACAGGGACACCCCCAAACCTAAGGCCGCTGGGTGGAAGAGGCGTGTCGAAGGGGCAGCAGCCTGGGGCCCAGCTGAGACCCCTCCCCCCACCCCCGCACCCCCCGCCCTAAGGGTCCTGCCCGCTCACCGCGCGGTGGTTGGGGGCCGGGGCCCGCGCGGGCTCTCGGGCTGGGGGCTGCTTGTGTTCCAGCAGCGTCTTCATAGACAGGCCCTGCTTGGTGAGGCCAGCCCAGAGCGGGGGCGGCGAGCTGGGCGCGGGGGGCACGGGGGCCGCCTGCTGCTGCTGCAGCAGCTTCAGCAGGAGCTCCTGCTGCCGCACCTGCACCCCAAGACGGAGGCAGTGAGGTGGGCTGCACCCCCAGGCCCCCGGGGTCGCGACACCCCCAGGCCCACCACACCCACCTGCTTGCGCCGAAGCAGATCCTCCTCCTGCTGCTGTCGCCGCTTCTCCTCACGCCGCTTCCGCTCCTCCTCCTCCCGCTTGGCCCTGAGCTCCACCTCCCGGCGCTCCTGGAACTGCCAGGGCCACAGGCTGAACTCAGGGGCCCCAGCACAGGCCCGGCCCAGCACACCCCCTACCCCAGCCCCCTGCAAGGTACTGACTTTGAGCTGCAGCTGGAGCTGCTCCAGAATTGGACCCTGAGTCGAAGAGTTAACTGGTATGTCCCAAAGACTGGCCTCGCCGCCTGTGGGAGCAGAGGCAGCTGCAGGAGGGGCTTCCGGGGGGAATCCTCCCACACCCTCCGCGGCCTGGCAGGGTGGCACCCACCTGACTGCGGCGAGGCTGAGGTATGTAAATCCCAGAGGGGGCTGGAATCCGGCACCGACAGGGAGCGGTTGATGCTCGGGAGCAGGTTCTGGTCCCCGGCTCTGAGGAGGTGCCCTGAAGCTTAGTACCCATTGTTTCGGACCTGGGGTGGGGGTGTCTCCCTGCCCCGCCCTGGCCCATCCCGTGGGCCCACCTGGGGGGTTTGAGCGCCTGGAGCTGCTGCAGAAAGGCGGCCAGCTGTGGGGGAGGCGTCAGGTCCCCCAGAGGTGTCTTCTCCCGGAGCCCACACTGCGGGAGCTGGCGGCTGCAGAGACCGGTGTTGGGGAGCCAGCCACAGAGCCAGTGTTCCCCCCCCACACACACACACCGGCCTCAGGGTTCCTACCTGCTGACCAGCTGCAGGAACTGCTGGTGCTGCAGCTGCTGGTACAAGGCGGCTGTGGCCAGCTCCTGCTGCTTCTTCAGCCGCTCTTGGTCCAGGTTGCCCTGGGGAGGGTCCGGCATACCCCAGGGTTTCTTCCCAGTCCACCCTGCACCCCCCTACCCGCCCCTCCACGCCCAGGGCGGGCTGCTCACCAGCAGGGGGGGCGGCGAAGGTCCTGGGGCAAAGGGCACACGGCCCCACATCTTGATCACCTCGCCCAGGGGCTGGAACCCCTCGTCACAGCCACGCTTCACCAGCAGGGCCATGGAGAAGTAGCCGGCCTGGAACCACTCGGCCATCTCCTGGGTGGTGAAGGGGCCTGCGCCGGTGGGGACGGAGGCTGCAGTCAGAGACGCTCCGCCCCCAGTAAGGAGCTGGCGCCGAGAGCACCCCCTCACCTCAGGTACCTTGGATCTCCCCCTGCGGGTCCTTGTAGAACCACTTTCGGGCCGCGCCGTGGCTGAGGGGCAGGGCAGTGGCGGCCGCTGAGTGGCGCAGGCCCTGGGCCTGCATGGCGGCCGTGAACTGCTCCTCCTCCAGGGAGCTGTCCTGAAGAGAGGCCACCAGCTTCTCCGCCTCCTGCGGACAGCGCGGGTCAGGGGCATGGGATGGAGGGAGAGCTGTGTACCCCACCCCCACGCAGCCCGGGATCTGGTCTGGGATCCCCCCGGACCCCTACCTGCTGCAGATGCTTCAAGCCTTCGTCATCCTCCAGATCTCCAGGGGGACCTGGGGGCGAACCCACTCCAGGGCTCAGCTGCACTCGCCTTGAATCATCT